AGAACAGCAGTTTCTGGATCTTTCTTTGCCTCTTTTATGATTTGTTGGTATTTGTTATGACTTTAAAGGTGAATGTATATACAGCCAAGGGTTTTCAGCACCTGCTCTTTGCAGGGGATGGAACTAAGTTCCTTCCAACCAAAACCATTTTGGGATTCCATGATTTGAGGTTCTGGATGTGAAACCTAAACAGCTGGACTTCTCAAGATATTTATTACACATTATATATTTATGAAGGGCCAGCAAAAGTATTCTAATTCTGCTTGATGGTAGAATGCTGATAATCACTCAGAGAAGAAGACTGAAGTAGGCATCCTATTTAAATATGTACAAATTACCTCATTTTAAATATGGAAAAATCGTGGACTTTCTATGATGCTGATTCTCATATTTTCTTTCATCTGTTCCTGACAATAGTAAGATTTAAAAAAATACAGTGGTAAAAACTACCCCATAATTTTATCTTTGTTTTCTCAACAGTTGGATTTGCTAAAAATCAAGCAGTAATTCAGAGCTCAGGAGCCTATCTCTGCTTTCTGGATTCAGTAAGTTAACACATTTTGTCTAACTTGGTTTTGTTGGTATAATTTTATTGGTTTTAATGTAGTTGTTAATTGTTTGATTTGCCTTAAAGACAAGCTGTTTAAAGGTGTTTGGGTGTTAAATGTGCTGGTTACTATTTATAGCTCCAAAGTTATCTTCCAACTTGTAGAAAGCCTCACACCATTCTTTGATTATATCAGATTCCACAGGCTGGTGTGAGCAGGGCTGGGCCAGGTTGGTATTTAGGTGTTTTCAGGATTTTTCTTTCCCACATTCTACAGAAAATTGTATTGATGAGAAACTAAGAGCTAATCTGTGGCTTTTTGATGCAAAACAGGAGAGGTCTCACCTTCTATCTTGAATTTTTTTCCCAGTCCTTTGTGGGATACCTTCTGTGGAGCCATTCAGCTCCATAACCCAGAGATAAGGATTGGGCTTGATGTGTTAAAATTCTGTGAATTATTCAGTATACTGTTGCAGGACGTGGTTAAGAGGTACTATATTTCTGCTGACCCAAGGAAATGCAGCTGAAATATCTTGTACCATATGAAAAATTACATTTTGCAGGTGGCTTTCTTGGCCTTTATTCTTGCTTTTGTTAAGTTATTACTGTGCTCAGTGTGCCTTGTAAAATGTGTTTATTTGAATTTGTCCTCATTTAATAGTTTGTTGGTTGGGGGTGTGTGTGTGTTTGTTTGTTTTACAGAGTGTATTTCATGTAAATTTTTGTATATAAGTTTATGGAAGGTGAAGTTACTGGGGTTTGAAAAGGTCGTTTTCACAGACACCAAAAAGTAAATATTTCCTATCCAGCACTGAGCATCAGCATCCATTTCATAAACAAAGTGTGCTGAGGAAAGAGGAACACAAAAGCCACTGATGTGATTTTGGTCACCTGACTGGGCAGGTCATGGAAGAGTGGAGGGACCTCATAAATTATGCCAGGAAGTAATTGGAGTGATGCCAGTTGTGCTGAGGTGGATGAACTCAGGATCAAGTTCTTTTTGCTTTACTTGGGCAGACACGAAGCCAAGTGCCATTTTGTCTATACAAATGATTTAACTCTCCTGTGTTTGGAGTCAGTGAGGCTGTTTATATATCTAAAATGAAAAAAAACCCAGATCTTCTGATTTCCAAAGCTCAGGTATTCCAGGCTTGGACAGACCCCACATTGCAGGGGGCATTCCAGGCAGTCTGTATGAGTTGCATATGTACTTATGTTGACTGAAATTAATTGAGTCCACATGTACATGAATGAGAAATTAATGTACCATCGTCCCATGGAGCTTCATATCTTCTATCTCAAAATAATCTACTGAGACAAATTATAGGTTAGTCTTTCTTTTCAATCCAGACAGGTCTAATCGTCTGTAAATCACAAGCAGCAAGCTAGAGAATTAAATTCTCTAAATGAAATTAATTCATATTTTTACAGTGATATCTTCAGAATTCTGCATTTGTTATTTACCAAGTGGTGTACATCTTCATGCTGCTGTGTTGTTTCTGTTTGCTGGCTAACTATGCAGGAAAACAAAACATCAGGGAAACAAATTACAACTACTAAGGAATATAATAAGGAATAATAATTTTGTATTTCTGCAATATTATCATTAGCATAAGCTTATATTTAATATCATTAAGATCTACTTGAGGTGAGTTGAGAATTTTATGACTTACAGTGTGGATAAGCTTGGGAGGAGTTACAAAGATTTTCTGTTCTGTGCACTTTTATTTCTGCTTCAAAACAGAGGCATTCTGAACTATCAGAAGCTTAATCTCGATGCAAAAGAAATATCAAAATTAATGAATAATTTGCATTAATTAAATGCATTTTCTGCTGTCTGTCCCTATGACAAGCATTCTTTTTTGCTGAAAACAGATCGGAGGAAATCAAATGACTGTGGAAACTGCTCCAAGTCTAAAAATTGCTCAATGTTTTGGCTGTAGCTGGTCAGTGTTGTGTGATAAATGCTGAAACACAGATGTTGCCAGCTGTTTAACAACTCTGCTTCCACACACCACCTACCTTCTTCATTGCACTCACCAATCCAGGATCCAGCTCTCTAGGAAGGAATGCTGATATCAGCCCTCTGGAATGTGCTGCAGCAGTGCCAGGGAACTGACCTTCAGAAGTGCAGCCACAGCTTCAGGTTTGCTGTAGGTGGATGTGGAGAGAAACGGGGCTGGGAATGGGGATTTTGCATAAAGGTGGAGAAATACACTCTTTGTGCATTCCTCTGTCTTCTCGGAGTAAAAGGATGTAGGAACATATGTGGGAGCATCTTTGGAAGTACTGGCTCCAGAGAGACTGTTTTGCTTGCCATTCCAGCTGGAGTCAAGCTGCTTGTGTTATGTCTCTCAACGCAGATTTGTGAGGACAACAAACTGGGGAGAAATGTGGAAAAAAAAGGTTGCAGAGCTCAGAACTGTCAGAATTTGATCAGCCCATTCTAGTATGAAGTGGCAGCTGTTTGACTAACAGCCATTGTGCAGTTTTTTTGCCATGGTTGTTCTTACAGATTTCACCTCTAAGCTACTGAGGCATTTTTTTCCCCGCTGGGAAAACGAGTAGAAAAATTGAAGATGCTTCACAAATTTTTCATATTTAACATTTATAGTATCAGGAAATGAGATCTAATTATGCAAAATATTTCAGTGTTAGCTTTACTCTCCTAAAACTGTCTGCAGTTATGACTTTATCTACGAGTTTCATTGTGCTGTAGCTGTAGTTTGTCAGTTCTCTGGGGTCATGCCATCTTTGTTAGAAGCATTTCCCCAGCAGAACTCTTACACTAAAAATTCTGTTTGCTGCTTTGAACTGCTGTTTTCTTTGACATTCACTTAAACATGCCTATACTTGTGTAAAACTGTACTTCTTTAAAAAGGAACAAGCTTTCATTTCATCTTAATCATCTGTGGAGTTTCCAATTCTTTCAGGTTTAATCAGTGTGTTGTTGGGGATTGTTAAGGGAGAAATATAAAAATGTGTCCTTTTTTGACCTGCAGCATTTCAGAGCCAGTCATATTCACTCGAGTCCTTGACACGCTTGTTTTAATCTTTTGAAAGGCTCTGCTGGCAGTGTATCACTATTCCAGAGATTCTCAGGCAGTTCAAAGATGTGACTCTAAACCGTGTCGCCACTAAGAGCTGAAAATGCCACAGGGACACAGCTGAGTTTTGTTCACCAACAGTGAATCCAGGACCACTGGATTTGACATTCCCATGTTTAAGTGGCAGCTGCTGACCTGAGCCTTTCTGGTTGTGAGATTTGCTGGTGTGATTTAAGTTGGGAACGGTAATTTTTAAATTGCTGTGAAATGTCATGTGTTCCTTGAGTTTCAAGTTCAAACCCACTTCCTCCAGGGGCTGTTGATAAAGGTCTGGGAGGAAGGAGGTTGGACCTCAGCTAAGTGTTTCAGCCTTCAAAATAGCATTCAGTTATAAACAGAGCTGCTTGGTTTTACTGTTTCCATAACCTGCTGGGTTTGAAAACATGGATTTCTTGTTAGTTGCCATTATATATATATATAAAACAGGCACTAAGAAACTTTTAAAATACTCTCCCTTTCAAATGAACACCTGTATAGCTTAGGAAATGAAGCAGTGATCAGACTTCATGTGTTTGGTTTCTGTTGTTAACATGCCATTCCCTGAGAATTTTATCCTCTGATTTAAAAACTGAAATAAAGCTGTTACTCAAATAGCAGATAAGTGGATGTAGTGGTGAACTCCATTACTAGAAGACCCTTTCTGTCCAGAAGAGTTGTCCATGTTTCTGAATCACTAGTGAGCCCCAAAAAATCAAACTAGAAGTGCTCGAAGGCATCTTTGCTTTTATTGTAAGGAAGTGCTTGTACTAAAAGCAGATTAAATGCCTTTATCTGCTATGTGCAATGTTAATTTTCTGTTTCATAAATGAAGAAGCAAACCTTCTGGATTTGGTTGCCATAACATCTCTCTGTTTGGAGTGTTTGGAGTCGACAGTGAGGATTTGACTCTTCTCTAAGTTTATTTGTTGCTTTGCTGTGGAGCACCCTGTGAATTACCTGCTTCCCTTGACTGCAAACACTCACACACTTTATTTTCAGTGGCCCAACTGTGAGAAAAATCAAAGGTGAACTCCAATAACCACTGAAAAGCGAGATATGAAAAGGCATTGTCTGCATTTATTGAACAAATGCACCGAGGTGGGAGCTACCTTGAAAATGTCCTGATCAACTAGCAGTGATGCTGAATTAAAACATTCCATAAAAATGTGGTGAGGCTCATAAGAACACCTGTATATCTTCCATGCAGACCTGTTTGTTGCCATGCTCAAGAATAGAAAGGTGGTCAGTGCAGTCGGCTTCTTAAACTTTGAAGTGTTTTCTTTCTTGTCCCCTTCTTTCTCAGTTTAATTCAGGAGCAGAAACAGAAAAGTAGTATTTTTTTTTCCTATGATCTTGCAAGTACTGACAGATCATTAGTCTCAGGTGACTCGTGGGTGCCATTAGAGTGCCTGATTTGATGAGTTTGATAGTGTGAGGCTGTTTTAAAAACCTGCCCCTGGAGAACTGCCTGGGATCTGGGTATTTGCTTTGGTAGAGCTGTTGACAGGCCAAGCTTTGGAGGTCCCAGACCTTTCATTTCCCTGGTTCAAGGAGCTGAACTGAACAATAGCAAAGCAAGATTTTCACTATGGTCTGAGCAGGTGCAGCATGAATGAATGACCATTTGATGGATTGAAAGACTTTGGAGATGCCATATTGTTGCTCAGTGAGTGAAACATTCCTCCTGGTGCTTCTGCTGGTTGTGTTTTACGTGTAATAACTGCAGCAGAAAGAAGGTGCTGTTATTATGGGGGTGGAGGGTATCAGGTCTCAATTTTATTTTTTTTTTTGAGCAGCCAAACACGAAGGGAATTTGGAAAAGCCTGTGATGCTGAGTCTGTAATGTGAGCCTAAGAAAGCACTACAGTACTGAGCTACAATTAGTGTCTTATTTTTTTATGAACTTGCCCTTGGGTGCCAAAAGTGTATTTTACTTTGAGCTGTATATTTTGTTTTACTTTCTGAAGTTCAGAACCCCCCACTTTTAAGGGAAAATCATGAAGTTATCACTGTGGAGCTCAGTGTGGTGCAGGCAGCCTGGTTGAAGAGGCCAGTGAATGCTTGTCATTTGAATTTATCCAAATTGATTTAAGAAACCCATCCTGAAACAGCGACAGCTTCGAGTAGCGTCCTTAAGCTCAGCCTATGGGTTTAGTTTTCCTTTTCTCCAGCTAAACATGCGAGTTAAGTGAAACAAAGCAATTAGCTCAGTGTAAATTGTGTGCGTTTTTATCAAGCCTGGTGCCCGCGGTTGGGAGGAGAACAGCCCAGCTGAGGGTGTGGAACTCGGCAGGAGCAGGGCAGGTCTGCAGAGGGGTGAGTGGGGTGGGACAGGAGCAGACAGGGCTGGGAGGTGCTGGGGGTCACGGCCCCACTGCCACAAACTCATCTGGGCTGCCCCTGAAACCTCTGCTTCCTTCTCCTGTGAAATAAACTCCTTTTCATTCCTCATCTTTCAGCAAATTGTTCTCCTGCTCCTGTTCTCCTCCTGCAGAAGAAGCAGCATGTTTGTAATCACCAAAATTCCTATAAATTCTGCATTATTTTGGGTGCCTGGAGAAGTTTCTGTTTGTTGCTTTATTTCCTGCTGTGTACCTGTTTGGACTTATTTGCATGGATGAACATATTTAGGTGACAGCAAACCCATCTATTACCTGAGACTTTTCTAAATTTTTCTGCTAAGTTTGTTGAGTGGGGTTACATGAAAAAAGATTTCTTTACAGATTCATTCTTGCTTAGCTACAGTATTGCAAGTGTATGATTAGGGAAGGCTTGCATTTACCTAGCATTTATTTTAAACCTGTTATTTCATTCTCTCTTCATCCTGTCTGCTGTATATCTGCTAGGGGACATCCATTAGAAACGTCCATGTAAACAGAGAAAACTGAATTTCAGTAGAAACTTCTGTTAAACTTCTGTTTTTTAAAATTATATGTTCAGTGTAACTCACTGCTGGCATTGTTATCTTCCCCACTCTCACCTAGGAGACAGAAACAAACTCAATAAACTTCCCTTTTTTGGCTACATTTGGATAGGCCTTTTTTTTTTTTTTTTCTGTCTGACATGACAGGAGTGAAAAATAATTTTGAAAGTGTTTGTCTAATTACTGAGGTTTTGTTCTCAGTTTTAAACCAAAATAAGACGACCAAACTCTAACTGTTGAAACCAAAGTCTGGCAACGTGTTTTCTGAATTCAATATCATGAATACAACAAAACTGTATTTGTGATTGCATAATGTACAGCTGGATAAAATACTTTTAACTTCTCAATTGTCCAGTATTACAGTTGCTAAAATTCCATAAACTCTTATCACTACAGTGCATGGTTGGGCCTCTCACTCCTACCAGTGGCCTCTGAAGTTGAAAAAAAATTTAAAATGCTCTTATTTTGTGGTACAGTTGGTTTGGTTTTACTCATTAGACTTTAATTTGGTTTTTAAACACTGGTCTCAAATATATCCATGTTACTTAGGATGATTTCACTATAAATATATTCTGTTTTCCACTTTGGCCCAGTCATCAATAGTGAAGGATCTGTTGAAGGTGGATTTTGCAGCTGCCTTTCTGTCATAGTTGCCCAACCTGAGTCCAAGAATGACTGCTGTGCCTCAGTTTTGTCTGGGATGTGATTTGTATTTTGTGCTGTTCTTCCTCCTTGCCTGATTCCTGTATTATTTTGAGATTATGCCTTTAACTATTATATTCTTTTTCCCCCCCCTTCTTTCTTTCTCTTTTCATGAACATGGAAGCAGCACAGAACAGTACATCAGTGCAGCAGATGTGTAAAGCTATTAATAAAAAAAAAAAAAGACAAAATTATAGAAAAACCCAAAGGTCATTCAGGATAAGAGTTCATAGAGTTTTCCAACATTAGAGAACAAAGCTGTATTAATAAAAAGAGGCATTTTTGTGGTTCTAGTGCCCCCTCTTTAGCTGGAGTTTGCAGAACACTGATGCTCTCTGATAGCCTGAGACCCGGATCTGTCCATGTGTGTTTTGCCAGTAGCACCAAAATGACACAGTTTTGTTAAGGGAACGAGGCCACTCCTGTCAAATTGTCCTCTGCTGAAAACATGACATTGAGCTGTTTGGTGAATGGGATGTTGGAATTTGGTTTGAATACCTTCCAGGCTGATTTAACATTTTTAAATCAAGATTATTTTTCACCTCTGTGTATGAGTTCTGTTAAATTTCTCTCTGTTGTGAGGGATCATAAACAGTGGAATCTTTTAGCACATCTTTTGTATCTTGTAAGAGATTATAGTAACAGTGTTATAAGCATTGACATTCCATACTTTTTGGTAGATTTCTTTTTCATTCTCTCTTTTTTTCCACATTTAACAAGAAGACATATAAGAATCTTTAGCTACTTGTAAAGGAGTGAACAAGGCTCAGTTAAAAGTTATCTCCTATTGCTTATGTGCAAACCAGGTTTTAATTTACAAAAATCAGCTCTGTATTTGGCAATAGGATTATGGTTCTTCTGGGAAATAGAGTAAAGGTTTTATTGGAACATTTGTACAGGATAAGTACAGGAATTCTGGTGCCTTATTGATAAAGTGGATTAGATGGTAAATAATTCCGTTGTAGTTTTGATGTAAGTCATGTACAGACATTGAGAAATCAGAAGGGTTTTTTCACTCCATTGGCTTTCAAAATCAATAACAGCTGTCATGCTTATTACTAAATATATCTTAAATACAAAATACAGGAAAATGCTTTGGGCAATGTTTTCCTTCCATCTTTTATAAACTTGGATGTGATAAGGGTCAGTTTTATTATTCATTTGTTTTATCTTTAACCTTGAATTGTATTAAATAGTTGGATCTACTTCTAAAACTTTTTTCATCATGAGTTGTTTTGATAAAACTATAGTGGCACCTTTATAGCAAGGTCATTCAACCCTTTAAGCTTGAGATATTTAAGCACCAAGATATGTATTTTTGTTGCCGTTGATTTGATGGGAAGTTTTATTGTGAAAGTTGTTGCAAATTCCGTATTGGGGTTTTTGGCTTTAGTAGGAATTTCCTTAGAGTGACAAACTGTTAAAAGAGAGGCTGTTGAACAGGAAATCAGGGCTCCTTTGAATCATGTTTGCCTGATAAAGTTATTTGGAAATATTCTGAGAAGAAATAGGCTGTGTTAGCTTTCATCAGCATCTAAGAAAGTCTGATCCTTTAAAAGGGAGGAAATATGGCACCAAAATGGAAAACAATATAGTCAGAAACCTTAGGAGGCTAAATTTAGGGAAGAGAATGTGGGCTAAAGTTTTTATAGACTGTAAAATCATGGTCTAGAAAGGATTTAATTCTGAACAGGAAATAATATGATTTTGAAAGGAATCTCTCCTAGCTGTCCAGGGAAGGTATGCAAGGTTACTAACTCTTCAAAAAGCAACCTTTCTGTAAGTAAGTAAAACAGATCTTTATGCTACAAGTGGGAGTACTAACATGAATTTGAAATCTAGGTGGTGTGTTTAAAGCCAGTGCCAATGGTGATGCATTTTAAGAGTGTGGGTACTTTCCTTTTTTCCTTTTTCTCTAGAATTTTATCATTTCACAAGTGCTAGTTTCTGTGCTCATGATATATGACATATTTCTAGATCTAGACACCGAAGGCTTGTCATTGTCAATGAAACAAGGTGCAGCCCGACTAAAGGGAACGTTTCCTTGTATTGCTGAGGTGGCTCAAATCAGGGTTTTAATCAAGATTAGTTCCCTGTGCTGACACTGCCAGTGCTGCTCTGGGGGTTGTGCAAGAGTTGGTGAGTTTTTGAGAAATAAATGTGTGGGTGCTGTCGACGTGTGTTTGAGATCCCAGCGCCGTTGTCACATCATAGTTTTGATCACTTCCAGCTTGAGCAGCACCAAGTTTAATCCCTGAAAAGTGTGAAGGCTCTTAATATCTGTTCCATTTGCATTTCTGACTACAAGCCAGTAAAATGATGTTAATTTAGCAGCATATTCTGCTGTGTGTCAGTACTGTACTGTGACCCTTTTTATGTTCAGTAACAGTGTGCTATTTATTCCAGGATGATGTGATGATGCCACAGCGGGTTAGGCTGCAGCACCAAGTTGCCATTCAACACCCAAACAGTGTGAGTACTTTTTTCTTGTGTGTATTTGTGGGTTTTTCTTTTACAGAGTTCCGGATACATCTTTAAAAGGATATGAAAATTTCACAGTCGGGCTGGTGGAGGCAAAGCAATAACTAGTGTATTCTTTTCCTTTATTTTTAATCCTTGCACTGAATAGGAGCTTTGATTGAACTTCTCTTCTTCTTTTTGTTTTTCTCTGTTCAGAAAACCAGATCTCATTATAACAGTGATACTCTTTTGCAAAGGAATATGCAGGTTTGGCTAATGTCTGTGATCTAAAGGAGAATGCTCTTTTTATGTAGCTTAAGTCATGTGAAGAGCTGCAAAGGATTGGCTACAGCTATGGTTTATCTGGTTTTAATATTTGAGAGACTATAAACCATGGGGAATGTATGGGTTTGTTATTACTGAAAAATTGGCCTACAGTTCAGATGGTGTTTCTCCCTATGTCTGCCTGCAGAAGAAAACAGTATTAGAAGGCCATTCTTTATTCCTGTGAAATAAACTCTTGGAAACACTGTGAGATAGTTCTTCTCTGATCTATATGCTTTTGATTTTAAATTGTTTTCTGTGGTTAGAGTCAGTATTCATTAGAGAGACTTTGTGTATATGCTCTACTTACCTGAATATATATATAAATAATTTGTTAAGGCTCTAACTTTATTTCTCCATGTTATTGATATAGATATTCCTTTATAAACTTGAAAACCGAGTTTGTGTTCCTATCAGACATTTTCAGCAAAATCAGCCTTATTGTTTGCACATCTCTGACATTTCCTCTTGTGAAAGTTATTTCAATGTGCAAGAAGTGTCTGGAAAGGGAAGGTCAATTGACTTGATCTGTCAAGTAGGTATTTCCTGCAGGTCTCTGAACAAAACAGACAGTTTTAGGATTATCACTGTCTGGGAATTAAACACCTTTTGAACTTTTCCTCCAAAACACTCTTGCCTTCAAAGTAGAGATGATTGTAGTCATTTCAGCTGAGGAATGTCTGCCAAACAACCTGCTGCTCGGTGGTGGGCTGTGAACCTGCTCATCACACCACCTGCAGTAGGCTCTTCGAAATCTGATAATCCTTACGATGTAATTTATTAAATTGCAGTTTTGGTACTGCCTGGGTAGCAGTTAACCTAATTCACATTATGAACATAATAAAATGATAAATCCAAAGCTGTTTTTGTTCTGATAGCGATCAGTTAATGTAATCCCGCAGCCAAATGCCAAAAAAACCGGAGAGGCAAGTTGATCCAGTAAGCTTGTTTTATGGAAATTAGTTTCAAGAGCTATCCTGTTTCTTGCTTATGTGGCATCTATAGCTGTATATGAAGACTTTTTTAAATTAGACTAAATTCAGCTGAGCAGTTTGTAGTCTGCTTAGAACATCCTTCAACTGTTTTGTTTATAATCTGCCCAACAACATTCAGTGTGAACTATTAAATGACAATCAAACAAGTAATAAGGAGGGCCTGAGTAGACTGAAGGGTCTGTTCTAAACAGGACTAACTTGTTATTCCTGTGTTCTAAACTCACCTAAACTTGTGGTCCTGTTGCAGTACTTGTGGGGGGCTGGCCCTGGCTGGACTCTGTCACTCCTCTCAGCAGGACGGGGTGGTGGGAGAAGACAAGATGGAAAAGACTGCAGGGTCAGGATAAAGGCAATTTAATAAAAGCAAAAGCAGAGGAATATCCCTTTGGTCAGTTTGGGATGGCTGTCCTGACTGTGCCCCCTCCCCACCCCCAGCCTGCTGGAGAGGGGGGAATGCTGGAGGGGCATCCCTGCTGTGGGAGCACTGCCCAGCGGGAGCCAGAGCAGCTGAGTGTTACCAACACCTCCCCAGTTACCAATACACAGCACTGGGAGGGCTGTCGGGGGCAAAATTAACTCCATCTCTGCCAGACCCAGGACATTTTCCTTGTTGCAGGTGTAGAAATGTTTGTAATGCCTATGGGAGGCATAACCTGGGTTAATGTTGTATTTTGCAGAACTCTGATTCAAAGGCCTGAAGGAGAAAAGGAAACACATCCAGCTCTTTCTAATGAGCAAATGGATTAGTTTGGTCCAGAGCCCCTCTAAAGTTCTGACAGAAGTTTGAGAAAAGTTGATCTTCTTGTCACAAATCTATTGACCCATGTCAGGGTGGAATGGTGTTCTTAAAAGAATGATCTCTCTGCTGCCCTCAGAATAATTGTGCCATTCAGTTTTCTGGCCTTGGAAGATGGTTGGGCGTGTTTGAATGTTTTGTTCTGTATTTGAAGTTGTGGCCATAGCTTCAGTCAGTCTGATAAGGCAGAGTAGGTGGAGGGGAAAAAAAAAAAGGCAAAAATAAAAGGAAAAAAAAAAAAAAGCAGAAGCTTGAGAAATGTCTGTGAAGCAGCACTGAGCTTTTTTGGTTTGTTCCTGAAATTCTAATTTGCAGACTTGGACTTTCCACTGTTTTGCAACTTTTTCTGACCTGGATTTTTGACTTTATGTAATCTCAGTGTATGTTCAGAAATTTTATTCCTAATCCTGATGCTGCTGATTGTTACTGGGAGTCAGATTTGAAGACTGGGCTATAATATTAGAGGCTTCAGTCTACTGTTGTTACTGCTATAGATTTACAGGTAGGAAAAGTCTCCAGCTTCCTCCACCAAGAGAAATCTCCCAGATCCAAACTAATCCCCGAGGTTCTTCCTCTTTTGTGTTACTCTTAAATGCAAATTGCCTTACCCTGACTTGAAGCCTGGTTATTAAACAGCAGAACCAAAGGTATCAGATGCCTCTAGGATACTCCCCAAGGAGTTGTTCTTCAAGGAAACACGTGTCTCTATCTCTGAAAAAAAAGCAAGAAGCTTGTCCCCTGGTTCAGGTGCTGGAACATGACAGGGGGAACCCTGCAGCAGCCTGAACCTTTGTGTCTCATTTCCTCTATCATAGACTACGTAACTGTGCTTTAAAGAGCAAGGTAATTTCTATTCTCTTAAGATGCTCTTATCTGGAAGACTTTAAAAAAAAAATCTCAAAGAGTGGAACTGTTTTGTCCTTGGTAAGTTTAGAGTGGAGGATTTGGGATCTCAAAAGACAAATGACTAATACATTGTGCTTTTTATTGAAAGCAGCTCTCCAGGACTGCTGTCATCCTGTCCTCTGGTGATTATTTCACATCATCTCCAAGTCCTGTTGACAGGGATTCTATAAATAGAAGCTCTCAGAAGACATAAGTTTTTGAGACTGAGTATTTACACTACAAATTCTTAAGTTCTGCTTAAGAAATATCTAGCTCAGTGTGAATCCCTGCTTTTAGCAGTTGGAAAACTTAGGGACATCATCCTGTCTACTGATAATGTAATGACTACCAACCTGTGGTGGTTTTGGACACTGTATTGTCTGCTGGGTGTGGTGTAACTTTATTCTTTCTCTCACCACCCTTTATTTCAGTATATTGTCCCCCACAATATGACTTTGCACATGAACAACACGTGGCTTCAAGTTTTTGTATTTTTCTTTCAGCAGAATTGCTTATAAAGTAGCTGAACTTTTCCTCACTGTCTCCCACCTCAATGAGGAAACAACAGCTGGAATCAGAGTGTGGGCAGTGGAGATAAAAACATTATTTCCTTTTGTTTTCACTGGCTGAATAAGAGGTGAATCAGTACCAGTGTGACAAGGAACACCTTCCTTTTTGTTGGGAAATTACAGGCTCTGTCTCAAACCTGCAGGATACCTAGGCATGTGAAAGAAAACTGAATATACCATTTGCATGTCTTCAATGAGAAATTCTCACTATTTTGCATCTCTAAAGCAGATTTTTGGCATATTCTGCAGCTTGGGTTTGGAGCAAGAGTTGCAGTGCCTGAGGCCATTTTTATCTGTTGCATTATCTGCCTGTGTTAACCAACTGACTGAATTCTGCATATCTTTGATGGTTAATGTGACTCTAAGATGATTGGAAGGATTGCACTCCAACAATGCCTGGCACTGGTGGCTCACAGACCTGTTCACCTGCCTCTGGGAGAGCTGGAAACAAATACTGTGCAATGGGCAAATGAGTTGGAGAAATGAGCAAATGAAGGAGAGAAATGAGCTGGTCCTTTGTAGAAGGCACATCTAGGCCAAAGGTGTTGGCTGTTTCTCTCCCACCCCTGCTGAACCTCACAAATTAACTACAATTAGAAATTAAGGGGTTTTTTTTTCCCCTTGGTCTGGAAGCACACTTTTAAAATTTATTTTGAAAGTCATAATCTAATAAAGTTTTTGAAGTGTCACTGTACCCTGTGCTGTTCTACTTGTCTGGACCTCTCACACATTTCTGTTACATGTTAGAAAGAAGAAAGACTGTTTTTTCCCCTCTCCCTGACTTGCCTTCCCTGTTGCTTATTGGGCACTAGTTTGAATCATTTCACTTTCTTGTGACTAAAGTGATCAGATCCAGTTGATTCTTGATTATGTCAGTCCTTTTACCTTCCACCTTATGAATTTAAATCAATACCTGACATTGCAAGTAAAGATTTCCTTCTAGTAGCAACAGAAAAACTATACAATGAAGTGAGTGGATTCCTTCTTACACGTTTCATTAAAATACAGTTTTAGTGGTACATGAAGTAGATATTGAGGTGGAGCAGAATTTTAAGATCAGCATTCTCGGTGTTTATATGGCTACTGTGATAATGAGATCTGATTTAAAGATTGACAATTTCAACTGGTTTTGCGTTGACAATACACAGGTTCTTTTATAGGAGTTAATCTGTGAGAGCAGTTCTGGGGGAATGGCTTAACAAATATCGAGAGTGCAAAAAGATTCATTGACATTCTTACATCATCTCTCAGTTCCATATTTTGGATGTAGCTCTTATCCCTGGAGGTGGGGAGGGAGGGAATTGTAGGTAGTCTGGACCAGTTCCCATACATTGTCTTGCAGGTTGTCAGAGTAGTTCTTACAGTCAGAGTGTGCACTGGATTATTTTGTACACAAAAGAGCACTGGATGTAAATAGTGTATTCCCAGTGACTTGTTTTGCTG